TAATTAATTAATCCTGCTTCCTTTGTGACACCTTGACAGAAAAAGATGACAACCACAAAAATCATTTTCAATAATGGATGCTTAAAAATAAAATTGCTGAAATAATTACGAAGTGTTTTTAAAAAACTGACCACACCTAAATGGTCTTCAATTTTTCTTTAAAAAAAAAAAAAAAAATTTTTTTAAAATCACTACAAAATAACAAAAATAATAATCCTAAAGAGTAAGACTAAGATCTACGTGTAGTTTATAACTCGACAGTATCAAAAGTTTAAATTCACTAGGGACGCACAATTTTAGAAATGTTAAAAAAAAAATAAAAATATTCGAAATTAAAGCCTGAGAAAGTATTTATTTGAATAAGAAGGAAATAAAAGTTAGTTTTTCGAGTTCGGCTACTCTCTACTCACAATAATTAACACTCCACATGACAAAGAAATCGCTTAAAAAAAAAAAAATAGAAAACAAATGACCACGGATGAATTACAACGAATAAGTTTTTTTAGTAATAAAAAAAAACTACTATTCTATTTCTTTGTTAAGGTCAATTTAGATGTCAGTTCAGTTACAGTTCTGGGTTCACAAATTGAACAAGCAAATGAAATATACTGGTAATGTGGGAAAAGAAGTTGAATGAATATAGCGAATTTTACACTTACAGGCAAGTGAAAGTTGAGTGACATAACATTTCTTAAAGTAAAAGTAACTTAGTGGGAGCTACTAAAAATGCTGTTTTAATAAAATTGATATTAAAATGTAAAACGTAACTCCGTATTGATCATTCAATAAGGAATTAAAAACAAAAAAAAAATATCAAGATAATTTAGGAAAACGTGGGCTATGACCTTTTAGTTTTGGTTCACAAAGGCTAATAATGATGATTCAGACGAAGCTACCCTCTAAAAATTCGTCCACACCCGTCTTGACATATAGCCTTATAGCTTTTAAGTTAATTCATTCATAATAATTCTTTATCTTTTTTGTTTGTTTGTCAATAAAGATATTCTTTAAGAAATGCCACTTTTACTAACTTATTACAAAGTAAATTAAATAAATTATTACATCTTTCAACTCAATAGTAGTAACAATATAACATTAACAACAAAACAGATTTTTTATAACCAGTAAGAAGCCTGAGGGCCCCTAGGTTGCAGTCTATGTAAGATAATCCGGCCCCGACTAAATTAACCAGTTCTAAAGAGCATAAAATTGTAACATAATGTAATGACATCAGCTATGTTCAATCAAATTAAACAATTCGAGACCTTGACCTTGACTAAAGACATCTTTCCCCTCTAAAAAACACACACATACACACAAATTGTACCAATAGCATCAACAACTGGAATATTCTTTCAGTCAGCCCAAAACTATACACTGATTTGGACTTTAACAAACCTTTCATATTAGGAAGATAAACTGGACGAAAGTAAAGACAACTCCTGTCCTCATTTTTCTTCACCTTATTGCAGACTTGTAAAATCTACAATGACCCCCCCCCAACACACACACACAAACAAAATATATAACCAACGTTTCTCAAAACTGAGAACTAAAGATGTCAGCAGATATTCAGTATGCATCATCACAGTCACTTGACTTGAATGTTTATAGAGCTTCAACCGTTTTATGGAACTTGGAAGGTTGTTAAAGAAATCGCCATCAAATGTGTAGACCAAATTTAAAAGGGTTAAAAAATTTTAAACCCTTTTAAATCTAGGCTACACTACACATTTAATAATGGCTATTTTTATTTTAACCAAAAGGACAATCTTCAAGTTCCATGCAAATAAACGAATTCTTGTAAAAACTATCATTCAAGAGCACCATAGGCATCATCGCGTAATAGACAGTAACACTCTAAACAGCAACTGAAGTCTCAAAGTCTCACCACTAGGCATTTACATGCTTATTGTCATGAATAATGTAGCAAGAAAGGAAAAAGAAATAGAAAGGTACAAAGTCGATGCCCATTGTGCTCTATTGCTGCGATGATGTGGGGAAGGATGCAGTTTGGGAAAGGATGAAGAAATCTGGGGCACACAAAAGTTACCCAATAGAATGCGTAGGTGTAACTACAGTACACTCCTCTCTAATTGCCTTTCTCCCTCATGTACACGCACATTATTATTCTTCTTCCCTTTCTTCATAACTACGTCAACACCAAAAAGTAGATGATATCTACGCAATAACCTCATCATCTTATACTCGGAAATACACAGCATCACAGGATAGTATAAAATAACAGATTTTTTAGTTTAGTTAATAAAGTGGCAATTATTAAAAATTAAAATTAACCTGAACCTAAAAGAAGTTTAATATAGAAACACAAGATGCGCAGTTGTAAATATTTTGAGGACTTTTTTTTTTAAATAAAACCTAATTCCAATACACGTCTGATGATAAAAAATTAAGTCAATAAAAATATCTTCAAGGGATTATTAAAAAAAAAGTTTTAAAAATCAAATAAAATAAAAACAAAAACAAATATCTAACAATAATAATAATAAAAAGAAGACGCATATTGTTTGAATAAAAAAAAATCCGAGAAGAGAAAATTTTGTGCAGCTTGAAAAGGAGTGTTTTCTAGTACTTTGGTCTTAATAAGTAAATAGGAAATGCTCAAAAGTTTGGGGATAACAAAGTTAATGTGTTCTCGCCCAACCCCTACCAAATTCTGATTCCCCATAAGTTTAGCAAACAAAAACCAAACAATAGTCCTTATTTAGATCCCTACAAGGAATCTACAATGCATTTGAACAATCATATTTATTTATTATCCGCATGAAACACATAAGGAACAATGAAATTGAAAAATGTGTTTTGTTACTTTGTGCGTACGTGATGTTCATGTGTGTATGACTACCTTCTCCACAAAGGACATAAATTATCTGTCACCCCAAATGATAACACATGACAAATTAGTTGGGGTGTGATGCGTTTAGAACTTACAAATAGTCATCTCTGGTCGCTTTTTATGTCAAAACCCATCCACCCCCAAAAGTCTACAATCTACATGGTAAAAAAAAAAAAAACGAAAATAATATATTCAGATTTTTGCAGTGTATTTAAAAAACAAAAACAAACAAAACACAAATATTTGAACACTTAGTCGAGGTTTGTAAAACCGTGGTTAACAACTTGGAAGAATTAGGTTTACCTTTTTAATTAAAATTTAAAGTTAAAAGTTTTACTGATTTCAAAAATAAACAAGAGAGGAATAGGCCAAAGTTAAAGTAGAACATTTTTTTGGGGGGTGGGGGAGTATTATTATATTTTGTGCTTATATCATTTCAAGTAAATTTTATCAGAAGCTGACATGTTGGCAGCAGGAGGTTATAAGTTTCCTCTTCAGATGTAGTGAACAAACAAATACTTATGATAACTTATGTTTTTCGGTTTTAATTTATTTTTGCCATATCCATACATGGAATCGTCGCATTCTGATCTGCTATCAACATATCCTAATTTCTATTATAATCATTAATTCTTAGGTTATTGGTTATGATGTCAATAAGAGAGATTAGTAATTTAAATCTGCAATGGAAGTGCTATATTTTTTTTATGTTCACTAAATGTTTTTATTTAGGATATAATCGTGATCGTCGTTATTTTCAAACTGTTTTTTTAACGATTATCTTTAACTGAAGAAAAATGAAGTCAAAAAAGACGGACAAAAATATCCCAAATTAAATATGAAAGTTTTGATTACTAAAATTAAAATTTGTTAATTAAATCACAGTAGTAAATTTTTAACAAAGCTTTTTAAAAAAAAAAAAAAAAAAATCCATGTGGAAGATGCCTTTTTCAATTTATGCAGAAGGACAAGGTGCAACGGTTTTTTTAAATACAGGAACAGTTTTAAACTGCAGAATTAAAAAAAAAAAACTGAAAGTGACATATTGAAAAGTGAAAACAAAAGATACAAAAAAAAAAACAAATTTTAACGAGAAAAGGTTTTTTTGTTTGTTTTTGTTTTTATTTCACATAACCACTTTCTTTTCTAATTAATTACTAATTATTTACAAAATTATCTATTGACTATTTTATAAAATTAAAAACTGTACCTAAAAAGAAAATAAATAAACTTAATCCCCAAACAATTAACAACAGACTGCAGTGCGTGTGACATTTTGAACTTTTTGAACATGAGTTTTGAAGTGACACCTTTTTTAACTGTCACATATCAAGTTTGAATTTTTAGTTCATATGATTTCGAAAACAAGTAAAAAATCATGGAGTTTGTTTTAATCGATTAACATTTATCTATAACTAAATATGTAATTAAAAAAAAACTTTGATGAGTCGACAAAAAAGGATATTTTTAAAAATTCACTTTTTGAAGCACAAAGATATTTTTCAAAGTATTCACAATAAAAAATGAGAATTAACTACAGTAAGCTAATTTTCTTTTCTTTTATAAATTAAATTTTATTGTTAAAAAATAAAAATCAATTTGTATGTCTGCTTTGTAGTGTACATGTTTACAAACAATGTTTATTCAAATTTTAAATTTTTTTAAAAATTCAAAGTTTCGTGTTTGCAGTTCTGGTCGTAACTGCCAGTTGGTTAAAAATCCAAAACAAACTTCCTTACGTAACAGTATTTGGTAATAAATATGTACTAAGTAAAAAAAAAAAAAAAACAACAAAAAAAAAGTAAGTAAAAAAACTAAACAGTAGATTACAGAGATTTAATTTCGAAAATGTCCATTTCGTATATATAGAGAGGAACGAAAGCAATCGACTCAAATCGGTAAATAAACCAAAGATCACGATTTAATTTAATCAGTGAGAAAAGATTTCACCAGTTATTTTATAATCCAAAGTAAGTTGTAAGGGAGGAAAAGGCTGTTTGTGATGATGATGAGATCTTCTCCGGCTTTGGTGCCATTACCAAAAAGAAGCAGCAGCAAAAAGATGAAGAGGAGAGAGTCATAAAAGCGAAGCCGTCCGAAAACAATAACCGTTAAAATTTAACCGAAAGAAAAAGCGTCTTACCTGTCGTCCATTGGAAGAAGTGTTGTAATCACTTAATTATACTATAAAAATCTTGGTCAGGGTATCGGTAAGACCCCCAACGTACCACATTGCTACTAAGCCTTAACGGACACTTTCCAAATTTCCGCCATTATGTTACTACCTATTTTGCGCATGCGCAGAAGCAACAGCCAAAGAGAACGACATGAGCCAATTTTTTATTTTTTTTGTGTGTGTTTTCTTTTTTATCTTTTGCTTTGTGAATCCTTTTTAAATTAAAAAAAAAGCTATTACTTGTCGTTATCGTCTTTTATCCGTTTCTTATTAAAATCTCTAATTCGTCGATATACTGAAGTGAAAATTATCATCTAAGATGTCTTTCAACTTAGTTTTTAAAACTTTTCCTGTCTTTCTTACAGTTGAATCTTAAAGAAAAAAAAGTCTTTTTTAAATCGCTGTCTTTTTCTCTCCACAAACCATTCCCCTGCACATTTCTTAATCTCTAACTTACTGTTTGTTCTTAAACTTTTCGTATTGTTTCAATACAAGACAAGACGAAACGTATTGATTGATTATTTAAAATATTTCAAGAACTTTTGTTTCAATTTTTTTTATTTCCCCACTTTCTTAAATTTTTAAATTTAAAGACTAATGCGTCATAGAGATAAAAATACATATTTGAATGATTAATTATGCAATTTTGTTATTCTGCTGAACGCTTGTGGAGAAGCGCCAGAAACGCTATATTTGTGTTTTAGTTTGACTATTTCTATAATTTACGTAGATACACGTGTTTGAGTTGACTACATCTCGATTTATTTACAAACTGAAATTATTTTTTATAAGAAATATTTAGGGATTGAAAAATTCCATTTAATTGCATATGTGTGTATGTTCACAAAGCATACAGATACTACATTCTGATCTACCTCTCCGCGCAAGTATCTTTTTTTACTCAACACCATATCACGTTGAAACACTGGTTTTCATATAATCACTCAAATTAAGCAATTCCTAGACGGTGACCGTTTGAGAACACCAAGTGCTGTAATCTTGGATAAGCCATTAAAAAAAAAAAAAAAAAATCAGTGTCATTGAGACACTACAATACTGGCAGCAATCAGCTGTGGATGTGTCTGGGTCAAGATAACCAGATGAAACCCATCCCTCTTTGTCTTTTAAGCTTGTTTTGAATTCAGTTGTCCGTAGACAAGAGGTGGCCAAACTTAAGAGCCACATACGATAAAGTTCAGATGCTTAAGAACCGCAAAACCTGAACAAAATTTACAGATACGTTTTTGTTACATACATGTTATTGTTAACATAAACTTACGTTTTTAATCCAATGGGGTCTCAATTCATACCCAGTAAAAAGCTTGAAATTTTTCCTTTTTTACCTTTCAATTGTGATGGAAAAAAGAGCTCAACCAAAATATTTCCATGGGCCACATATTAAAGGTAAAAAAAGCTGATATAACTTGCAAGCCAGTTTGACCATCCCTGATCTAGACTGCCCTACCAAGGCAAAAGATCCCAGTCTGCCCTAATATTTATGAGGGTGGGGTTGAATTTAGAATTTTCCTTTTAGACTGCCACTTAGAATAAGACAGTCCAGTCAGTCTTGGTATTTAATCCATAGCTGCAACAAGATGGATTCATGCCTGTAGGGAAGGTGGGGAGGGGGGTCAATGCCACCAACAAGTCAGGTTTTTTACCAATCTGTAAAGGGCTGATGGTAATGCGATTAACTCATTACTTTTTTTAACTTCACAAATGTAACAAAAAGCAAGCAAACAACGAGAAATAATATGAAACAATATTTTGGTTCAACAATAAATATTTTTTATATAACCAATAAAAGTTACAAAATTGTACATTAAGAGTTGTTTAAATTGCTTCAAAGTTTTTTCTTGTGTGGATTGATGTGTTTATGAAAATATTATATGAAAAATTAAGAGTTGAGAAATTGTGTGTATAAAAATGGGTAACTGTTATGGAGTGATTTCACAGTGGAGGCTTGTATTTGTACTAAGTCGGTCCTAAAATAGGTTCGACGTACAAAACACTAGGAACTTCATATAATAGGTATAACGCAGAGTAATCTTGTTGTGGTCACTGATACTTTAGTATCCAACTAACAGTCGTCCCGCATCGAGCGACCTAGCGACTGCCTTGTTACTCTTACTACTCCTACTTATTATAGGTGGGAGAGTCTATTAACTATAGAATAGGTGTGTTCCACTATAACAGTAACTTTGATAAGGTATTTCTGTGTTTGTATGAAAATTAAACAGTTTGTTTTTAGTGTTGAATTTTGTAATATTGTACTCAACTTACTGTTCTGTCTCTCTTCGATTGAATGTGTCACTTGATGTTTTCTGTTGAGTTTATGAAATTGAATGAATGTACTTCACAAGCTGTGGAAATGTTAATTAAATTTGACTTTAAGCCTGGTACAATATGTAACATGGATTCATGTCAAACTGAGAAAATTTGTAAGACTTCCTGTTGAAGTCAAATGATGTTCCATATTTAATGATGTTTCAAGTCACATGGGATACTCTAAGAAATTTGTCACAAATTTTGTATCTGCTTAGGATACACACTAAACTGATATGATGTGTATGTAGTTGAGAACGTATGAAATTATGATTTTTTTGTTTATTCGCCAATCAGAAAGCATTTTTAGTTACTAGAGCCAATTTTAATGGATTGTTGGGCTATTTGGATTGATTTGAGTTAAGTTTCACTCTGAAACACTTTTAATGTTTTTTTTAAATAAATGTAGAAGTCTGATTCTACATGTTTTTTCCAAGAGCATTAATGCAAAGTGAACAGACTCAGTCTTATACATGTGGGCAAAGAAAAAATTGTCCTATCAGCCTCAGCACCACTCAGGCATCAGAATACTCTGACTCTCCCTCTTTGTCTAAAGTAAACAAAACCATAGTGCTACACTCCTCCAATTGAGGAACAGAAATGGATACTAAACTTGGTATTTACTTGTCCCTCCTCCTACAAAGTAACAGGACATGGTACAAGTGGGAGCCCAAGTGTATGCACAATCACATGGAATAAGGACAAAAATTACCCAGTCGCTGCAAACAACATCGCCCTGGTGTCAATATTCCACTGACTCTCTCTCTTTGGTGCAATGAGGGAGGTGCTGCTGCAGGGTTGAAATCCCAGGGACCAGGCATCCCTCATTTAACCAACGCCAAATCCACTGTGCCATGTGTCCTTGAGGTTAGATCCAGTGACAGGACCCAAAGAGTGTGAGTTCAATACCCAGTTAAGGCAGTGGAGAATTTTCAGAGGGACATTAACAGGAGATAACTGATAACTGACATCCATTAAACATGGCACGTGGAACTAGAACTGTCTACCCCAGTGAGCAAAATAAAGGATTCAATTCGACATTCCAACCACCTGAAGAAGGCCGGAGCATACAATGGCTAAAACGTTATAATAAATATGGCGACAAAGATGAGGAAAAATAGTCCAAATAATGTAAATAATAACAGCATTTAGCAGCATTTAATCGTTAAATCCAGTTAATCATTGAATAAATTAGCTTTTATTAAAAAAAATCAACAAGCAGAGAATTTCACTGTTTTTGGACAGCATTCTACAAACTGTCTTTATTAGAGAATGTCCTAACTATTATTTATCTGTTTTTTGCGTTTTAATGTCTTGTAGTGTTTGTCAATTACAAATTGGAGATACCAAAGTCAAACAAATACAAAAATTTAAATATGAAGTGTTTTAACAGTGGGCGGAAAGTGCAACACCAAAATCTGCAAAAGCATTGGAATAGCAAAATATGCCTTCCTAAAGCTAAACAAAGTATTAGGAAACCGCAAAATTTCATTAGAAACAAAAAAATAAGAGTACTTAACTGTTATGCAATAATGGTCCTTCTATATAGCAGTGAATGCTGGACCATCTCATCACAGATGAAGAAAAGTGGTTCTGCAGATAAATGCTGAGAATACCATAGACTAAACATGTGAATAACAACAAAATTTTAGAAAAAAAATGAAAACAAAAAGGATAGTTATATTTAACATCAGAAAGAGATAGTTGAAATTTCTAGGGAACATAATGAGGAAAATTTGATAGTCACAGGCAGTGGCAGACTTGTCCACCGGGATAGTGGGAAATTTCTTGGTGGGCCCCAAAGTGATGGTCCATCATTTTAGAAATAACCAAAAAAGTAAAAACTAAATAAAAAAAGAAAAATATTGTGTAGATGCTGGGAAGCTTTAAATAAGGTTTCTTTGATGTTATAATTTCTTTCGGTAAATATCCTCAGTTCCTTGTTTGATGAAGCTTCTTTTTCATTTTTAAGGACATTTTTTTAATTTTGTTTTGGTTAACATATAAAATATATTTGTTTAACATAAATAAATAAAACAATATTGAAAAGATGTAACATTTTATTTGCGTAAAACCTTTACATTTATTTGATTTCTTTGACTACATGTTTGGGTTAAGTGGGTCCTTTTGACTGAGTGATTTTACAAGTTTTCCTGGTAGAAATTTTTGACCAAGTCTACCACTGGTCACAGAACATAATGAAGACAAAAGAGACAGAGGAAAACTGCACGTAACCTACCTAATAAACTTGTGTAAATGGATGAAGAGCAGGGTTTAGGAGAAATAGCAAAAAGATAAAATTTACAAAGTGCTATAAAGGAAAGGAAATTGTGGAAAGCCATGATCAATGGATATTTGTTATTAAGAGGCACAGCCTAAAACGTGAGCTACAAATTGGAAATGTCAAAATAAAGCAAGTACAGGAATTTAACTATCTGGCAAATGTTTTAACAGACAATGGAAAATGTGACACAGTAATCTTAAGAAGCATTGGAAAGATGCCTTCCAGAAACTAAGCACAATATTAAGAAACAGAAAAAGAAAAGAGTGTTGAATTTCTATGAACATAATATAAATCCTCCTGTATGGCTGACGATAAACTACATCCAGCAGCAAGGCCTCTGATTGGAAGACTGGTGATTTTGAGGAGTGT